ATATAAAAGTAGGGGTGAAATCGACATGGGCCACTTGCCAAATTTGTTCGATGGAGGCTGACATCCTCTCTCGTGTGCGTGTAGCATTAAATTGAAATTAAAAGTAGCTATTTTGGAAAATGTTCCATGCCACCCCTCAAATTAAATAGAGATTGCGAGCATTAATGCAATCAAAAGGTGGCCTCTACAAAACCAGTTAATTATCAAAGGTAAGAAAAATTCAATTTAGGTTTGACCTCAATCCAACGAAGACTGAAACCCTCTTTACCTCATTTGCTTCTACTTTGATATCTCACTGAAGACAAATTTTTTTTGCATTGTTTTGTTTTTCTTTTGTTTGTTTTTTTTTTATCTCTTGGGGTATTGGGGAATTTTGCTGATGTATGAACTCGTTCTGGAACAACACTCATTCTGATATCGTATAAAAGGCCCCTAACAGTTTTTATTCTCAGAGCATCGCACTTTGCTTTCCTGTCTGAATACTATATATTTTAATAGCGTTGAAGCAACAACCCACTTTTAAATGCTTCGCTGCTTCGCTGCAATAAATAAAATTTTTAACTTAACAACATGCCTTCTCTTCAGTTTTGCGTATTATTTTCATCTAGTATGTAAAGGTCACATTTACTCTTCTCACACATTTCTTGGTAATCATGGCCACTTTAGTGAACAAAATACTGTTCTTCAGCCGAACAAAGATAAGGTTTTTATTTTAATGATTCAAATGTATAAAGTGTTCAATTAACAATAAAGCAGCAGTGAGGACATAAGCACAGCCTTGAGCGATGGTTATTTCATAATGCTTGGTGAAACCCTTTGGGACTGAGGAACTTCGTGAAGCGGTAAAAATGATGTCCCTTCTTCCGACCGAGTCGAATGGATTGAGTGGGTTTTACACAAAATTTATCTCCCCCCTCCAACCCCCTGAAGAAAAAGAAAGTTAGCTTTAGACATTCAAATAATGCTTAATTCGAAAGCGAAAACACTGAGTTGACTGCATTTGAAATTACCTAGTATTGCATTATGCTTAAAAAGGGAAAAAAAGGGTGCCGCCATAGGTAAGGATTTGTGTGATTGATGGGACTATGAAAACAATGTTGAAAAAATGGTTCCAGTACCTTGCTTTGGAAGAGTTTCTGAATACTTCTTTTCCCATCCTTCTAAACGCCTTTATAGCATTCAGTTGAAATTAAAAGTAGCCATTTCGGAAAATATTCCATGCCACCTCTCAAATTACCTTAGCATTAAATGTAATCAGAGGTGGCCTCTACGAAACCAGTGGATCATTAAAGGTAGGAAAGTTTTGGAAAGCGGGTCGATAGTGATAACCTAGATCACTATCAAGATAGCATAATCATTTTGTTCAATAATAATTTCGTCATTAAAGGTCAGTTCAATCTTTTATTGCACAATCTATAAACTTACGTCGAAACAAATACTTCCTGTCATTATCCTATTTTGAGACGGCTAACGCACCAGTCATTCTTCGCTCTATCATTCGTCAGTAATGATCATATGATCGCATCACATTTCAGCATCTTTTTGGCCTGCCTAAGCTTGTTTCGCCTCCAGAAGCGTCTAAAGTTTATCTGTTCCACAAAAGTCACAATTATACCACGCAATAATGGATACAAAGACCGAGGTCGGGCGGGAGAACATTTATTTCGAAATGGAATCTAAACAGAAAGATCACGCCGAAAGGTGTGACGATTTAGTTTCCAGAAAGGACACTCCTCAGGCAAAGCCGAAGGTGGAAACACAGCTGTGTAAAGATTCTGATACAGTGAAACATCACCTATTATTCTTAATCGTATCTGCCATTGCTGTTGCTTCGCTCTTAACAGCCCTTGCCACTTTGGTTTTAGCTGTGACAATCATTACGGCACGGAGCGAAGTTTCTACAGGTACGGCTACCATTGCTTCTCCCTGTTGTAAGTATTTGACAAGTGTTTAAAAACACTTGTAGGTCTTGATCCATTCAAATCTTAAAAGTGATTGAAAAGGTGCACTAATTAAACGAGAGGATGAAGAAAAAAAAGATAATTCACTTCGGTCCTGAACATTTCCTGTGCAAAGAGGAAATTAGAGGAATTTCCGTTTCGATATGATTTGAGTATTGCTATTATTACCAGAGCTTTCCCTCCACATATGATTAGTACAGGATTTCTAAGAAAAATTGTTATAGAAGGGGAAATCCGTCCATCATAATACTTATCCGTAATAATGAACAACAAGGGCGTTCCTATTGCGTCTACATTATTTGATATTTAGATAAGGCTAAGTTGTAACAACTGAGCTTTCCAATTAAATAACACATTCTGTGATATGCAGGATGTTGTCACGGTTGCTTAGGAAAAGAGGGAAAATATCGTATTTAAATAGTGAATAATCTATCTTTGACATATAAAGTGCGTTTTTCAAAAGGGAATCTTGATGATGTGAGCCACTTAACACCAAGTTAGTATCATGAAGTATGAAAGGCCGAAGACACTGTAAGTGACGGAAACGCTCCGAGTCATTGAATTGAGAACTTTGACCATTTTTCATCTCTTTCCAATATCTAAAATTGTTAGTCGGAGCACAAAAAATATGCGTAATAGTATCTGACAAAAGATGAGGTTATAAAAAATATCAATAGTGAAAGTCATGAATGTTCATATTTTCAATGGGGCTTTTGGAATTAAACCCGTGAATTCATTTATTAACATAAAAATCAACCTCCTCCCCCGCCCCCCTTATAAAATTTGAAATTGAAATTTTTATCAAGATACATTCCAAGAAAATTCAAAGTTCCATGTAGATAATTAAAAATGGTAATAGGACCGAGTGGAGTCCAATTTGGTGCGTGATCATAAGATGGATTGTCATCACTCGTATCGTTACTGACAGAATTGGACGACTCTAAGTCCTGTTGCCAATTAATGATGACCATTACAATTTAGGGAAAAAAACAAAAATATTTATATGAGAGAGGGCTTTTAATAATGATTATACAAATCATGATCATTAAAATCTTCGACAAAAGCGAAATGCAACGTTTAAAAACGGCTTTTATAACAGAGATGAAAAAAAAAGAAAAAAAAAGTCTAAAAACCACTTAAGCAAAACGATTACTTAGCACAACCAGTCGTGTCAATCAATTAAATAATCAACCAGGCGTTACAGCCAAGGAACGAAAAATTCACAGAATTTAAAAATCGCGCTGTGGTAAGTTTCGAAAAATAGTCGGCATACATCTACTACAGCTGTCTCTAGAAACAAAAGAAAGCAATACACCTTTTTTTAAAGAATCTCTTGGAATTATATCAATCGACTAATCTGAGTCCAAGTCGATGATTACGAGCCTCTTCCCTCGTCTTTTGCTTCGCGAGGAATCTTCAGAAGGCAACCGGTGTGTGTTCGACTCAAACAATAACGTGAACACTTAACAAGGTGCCTGTTGGAGAATTTTTATTGCCATTGTGACAGACTATGATGGTGTGAAGAAAGGAGGCATATTGCCTGACCCATAAAGATTAGCTGGATGTTTTCTTTCATGTTTGTATCTCCTGGACCTAGAGAAGAGGAAGAAATAATTGCCGGCGATCGACCTTTGAACTATCACTGATAAAGTCGATGTTGCGGCATACCCACTTGTTATACGAGACAATTGCTATCGTTCGCTCTCCGTAGTTTTGTCACAATCATCCAGCGAAGACTCTCTGGCAGTAACTTGGATAATTTTATGAAGTGGTTGGCCCGCTTCTTTTAATTTCGCAACGACCGTTTTTCTTGTGGAATGGTTTGTTATTTTCTTGGCACGCTCCTCTGGTAAACAACTTGCAACTGATTTCATTATTTGGCCAATTCGATGCTCATCCATTTTAGATTTGGGCAACCAACACTTTTGGAGGGCCCTGAAATAATTGCAAGGTATAAAGGGCCGGAATTTTCAATTGGTCGGTGTCGACATGCAGGCCACTCTTCGAAAAGTCGTATGAGATCCCATTCATCACCGTCGGTAGACCACATTTTGCGAGGGAAACTTCGGGTTTTGTTTCTCAATCCACCTTGCCTGGTTTTGTTTGTTTTTTTTTCAAACTGAACAACTTTGCTACCATCTGCCATTTGCAAAATGGAAAAATCTTGAACGCATTGTTAGGGTCGTGTTGGCCTCTGAAACCAAGAGCTCTGCCATATTTTTAAAGTTGACGCTTGTAATGGCAACACCATTGTGACTTCCTAATTTTCCTTCACTCCAAAATAATTCTTCGTCTACGTGAGCGTGCGGCTGAGCTCTGTTAAGCCATTTTCCTTTGCCTTGGTACCTCAGACATTTTGTCTTGGAAGTAAGAGTCTCTTGAGACTTCTTGAACTCTCGCCCGCAGATAATGGATGCCTAATCATTTTTTTCGGCGGAGATACTTGTCGAGTGATACCTGCATAATGCGAAGCGAATATAGTTCGTATTCTGTCTCATCTTTTATCCGGACTTCAGCATAGAATGTTTGTCAGAATCTCATCCAAAATTCGTGGGGTGAAGAGTTACTAATAAACCATTGTCAACTGAATTTGAAGGAACCTAAATTGCTTCAAGCCATAATCGACTCTTTTCTAGTTGCAGATCGAAATTTTATTTAACTTCTGAATTTTGACATTGTTTCTCGTAAATATAGTGCTGTTATTATAGGCATACAATGAACCTTCCTTCTTACGAATGATGCACTAACTTGGAAAGATCGTTAACTTATATAGCACGCAGGAAAAAAGGCCTTTTACTTACGATTTTTTTCAGAATGGAACAAATAATTCTCTAGATAGAGATTGTTTGCAACTATAGTTAATAAAATAAAATAAGCTGGTCCTATTTCTCCCTGCCTATCAGTGTATGAAGTTTTAACACGTGTTTATTGATATTTATCTTTTATCTATTTATCCATCTCTTCATCTTTTCATTTGAAATCCTTCATTATTTTTTGTTTACATTTTCTGTTTTTCTTATTGTCTCCCCTTTTTTCTAGAAACGTCAGAACTTCAAAAGGATGTGCAAGAGTTGAAAAGGAACCTCTCTGCATTCAGAGATTACTCGGTAGGAGTAATTCTTAATCTTTATCAGTAATCAGTTAAAAGCAAAATGCACTGACTTGAAATACATACAGACTAAGGGCCTCAAAAGGACTTTTAACTCGCTGATAATTAGTCATATTTTATAGAAATATAGATTTTAAACAGAGCTTTAATACTTTCATAGAGAGCAGGCTGGAGGCCCTTTGCACTTCTACTTTAACTTTTTCAATGGGGCAATCTAAATGTTATTTCTGATCAGCCGAGGCTGTTGTGGAGAAGCCTGATGAACCTTACGATAGGCCATCTTGGGTGTCATTGTTGCAGACATTATAAGTATTCTCGTAATTTTTTGGACCAAATTTGGAAGCATAGCGGTTCAAACCCTATCATGCAAAGTGCACACCTGTATAGCCATCATCATCATTTGATCATTAGAAATAAGAAATTACAAGAAAGTATTATTTTACCAAGAAACTTGATCAGGAATATTGATTTACAATTTTTTATTGTTAAAGGTTTCAGGGGATGTAAAAGAACTAAAGAAAAATGTAAGTTTGCCATTCATTCCTCTTCCTGTAATAATCTTAATGATCATCTTAATGTTAATAATTACACTAATGATAATGATTGTAAATCATCAATAACAATAAACCATTCATGAAAAAAATGATATGATGTTGAGTAGTTTATTTTCTTTTCTTCCTTGTGTTAGGTCTCAGCAGTGTTAGAGGAGCTAGCGATAAAGGCAAGTTTAAATTCATCCATTTCCAGTTCTATCTATATATTTAGGAAAAAATTACTATTAGTGCACTTAGTTTAACACGAGTTTCTTACTTAATGGCGCATGAAAAAAGATATGGAAAACATGAAACATGAGGTAAGTTCCAATACCAATGTATCGTTATCTGAATCCCTCACTGTTACAGTCCCTATCACCATTATGTTCAAAAGCAAAACGTGGACTGCTCTACTTATTTCACCAACTTTAGTAGGTCCACTTATTCTCTAACACAATAATTTGGCCCGTTTTATTTTTAGGGCAAAAATACAGAGCTAGAGGATATCCATCTTGCAGTACAGCATGCTGCTCAAGTTTTGATTGGTCTGAATACAAGTGTAAATGAAAGGTTTCTGCATTTCCAACAAAGAATCATACAACTGGATCAAAAGGTACATATACCTGAATGTATTTTTGTGTGCCATTTCATACCGAATTTTGAATCAACCAATCAGAGACCTGATCTGAGATATCTCGCAATGCTAAGTCACTGCCCTAAGCTGCACAATATCATGGTCTCTTTCAATTGAATTTAAGCTACTTAATGGTCATCACAAAGTGCATGGTACAGATATGCCTCTAAACCTATTGCAAAAACGGAGACTGTTTTTCATCGTGAGTTAAAGGGGATTTTCAAAGATTGTCAAATGCATGACCCCTCACAGTTTGCAAGAGTCAGGGTTGAACATTCAAATTCAAGCAATGCTACCCCAGCAAATTCTAAATTTGTTTTCAAAATGACCTGTTTACTTTTATTTTATGTCTGTGGAATGGCAGGGGATACTTTTTTTTAATCTAATTTTAAGCTTTTAAGCTACAACTTAGCTTATTGTTCAAAAAGTTCTTCAAATCGACTGTATGTACTGGCTTAAAGAGCCTTTTTGAGGGGCGGAAGAGCACAAAAACGTGTGATTGAGTCAAAAATAAGAACGATCTAGTGTGATTAACTTCCAAGAGTTAAGGTATAGATATATCAGTGATAAGGGATGGTGTGGTGTAAGCCTATAGACAGATCAATTGATCTTTGGTGACCATTCCATTATCAGTCCAAACTATAAAGAGCAAATAAGTATGATAAAGGTCTCTAATGTAAATCAAAAAAATGAAAACAAACTGTGCATTTCTCACAACCAACTTAAGTCAATGTTGTTTTCCTTCTATACAACTTTTCATATAAGAGCCTCCCATTTTGGCAGTGCCACAGCCACTTTCACTGTCACTGTTACTGTCACTTTCATTGTCACTGTCACTGTCATTGTCTCTGTCACTGTCACTGTCATTATCACTTTTACTGTCACATACACTGTCACTGCCACTGCTACTGTCACTGTCACTGTCATTGTCACATTAACTGTCACTGCCACTATCACTCCAACTGTCACTGTTACTATCACTGTCACCGTCAGTGTTACTGTTACTGCCACTACCACTGCCATTGTCACTGTCACTTTCACTGTCACAGTAACTGCCACTGTCACTTTCCCTTCACTTTTACTATAATTGTTACTGTCGCCGTCATTATCACTGTTACTGCCACTGTCACTGTCACTTTCCCTTTCACTTTTACTATCATTGTCACCTCACTCACTTTCACTATCATTGTCACGGTCAACGTCACTGTCACTTTCACTTTGTCACTTTCACTGTCACTGTCACTGTCATTCTTATTGTAACTGTGCTAATTGTCATTATCACTACAATTGTAATCATTTTCATGATTATCGTCATTGCAGTGGTTACTGTGAATATCATTGTTGTTGTTTTTTTTAATTGTGTAGGTGAAAAATACTACTGGCAGCACGAGCATCAGAGGACCACCTGGAGTCAATGGTACTAATGGTGACCCCGGACCTGCCGGACCTCCGGGATATAATGGTACAAAGGGTGACATTGGACCTGCCGGACCTCCAGGATATAATGGTACTCAGGGCCCTGCAGGACCATCTGGACTACCTGGTGTACAGGGTCTTCGTGGACCAGCTGGGTTCAATGGTACCCAGGGTCCACCTGGACCCGGGGCCAGTTCCTGTGTTTTTAAGACTTTATCTAGCCTTGGCCTACCAGCATCCTCGTTGATCATCCAAAAAATTACAGCGACGGAACAAAATGTATGTTGAGTTAAAGATTGTCAAAGTTGTTTGATTCTGAAAAACGAAAATAAAATCTCTATCTTCTATTGAAAATTACTTTACGACATATTAACACTCAAGACAATATCTATCGGTCGAAGGAGTTGTCCAGATGTCATAAAGCCTCCCTTAAAGTCATAAAGTTGAGTAATTACTTTCTATCCATAGGCCGCATCGATTTGGAGAATCAAAGCTAATTTCCTCTCATTTTAAGTCTTAAATTTCCATCATCATTAAAACAAAAAAAAACAAAAAAACGTGTAGGCTGTATTTGTGATATCCGATTTCGGCATGGAAAACTCACAATAAGTATTGCCCAGATTGTAGGCGTCAGCTTTCGTCACGTCGTGTGTACACCCATTGAAGAGGAAAGAAATGTTTTGCTCATCTGCTTTTCGAACTCTCGACGTAGTTTATCATTATTATCAGTATCATCATTTTTTTTTTTTTCCTGCCAGGGTAAAATCTTTATTGGCGTAAACTGTGATACAAACGACGCGAAAGCTGTTAAATTATCAAGTACTATTTCAGGTGGAAAAAGATCCTACGACTGCTCTTACGAAGGTACCCTAACAACTGGAGAACCAATGATGTATTGCTACATGCACTACTGGGAGTGTCAGATATAAGAGGGAAGACGAAAAGTTATTTGATCAACAGGAGTCTTTGTGAAGTAGATAAGAGATAATGTATATCAGAAACGAGACGAAGAACAATTAAGTAGATGAACGTAAATATCTTTTTTTTTAAATATGCCCAGTCAACTGGGTTTTCTCTCAGAAAGCATTTCAGTTGAGTGTTGTAAAACCAAAATTAAAGTAAAATAAAAGTAAGGAGTATAATCAGGAGAAGGAGTAAAAAACAGGTTATCTTCTCAGAGCGTGAGAAAACGAAAGTGACAAGATCGCAATTGGATTCGATTTTCAATCTGACAGATTTAAAGTATGGCGCGAGTTTCAGTTCTACACCAATCACATTGCAAAGTAAGGCAAAACCAAAGCAAAGTAACGTCACTTTCCCCACTCTGTTGAAAATCACCCCATTCAGCGACATTGTGTTTACTTTACATGATGTCGAAGTAACAATTCAGAAATATCCATAATCTAATAGGCTAAGACTTTCCTATCATCCATACTCATTCAAAGGTGTACATGATTTATTTAATCAGAAACTCGATTCCTTTTTCACCACTAACTTCCACGCCCGCTCCTTTTGCCCTTGCGTTATTATGGGGATACACTGATTACCGGAAACCCCAGGGAAAACCCCCAAAGTTGTGCCTGGTTGTATTAAATTTCACTATGAGAAATCAAAAATATCACTTAAAAAAAGAAATTATATGGAAGTAAAACAAGAGTTTTAATGAGGTGTCGCTGTAACTACCTGTAAGGATTTGTGTGATTAATTGGACTATGAAAACACTATTGAAAAAAAATGGTTACAGTATCTTGCTTTGGAAGAGTTTTTGAATATTTCCTTTCCCATCTTCCTCAAAGCCCTAAGAGCTTATGTCAGCGTGCATCAGACAAACAGCGGCAAGTCACCCGAAATTCGCTTTTAACTCCACTTTCATAATTTATAGCCCAATTGTTGTGGTGTAGTTTTTTTTGTGAAAATATATTTTAGTTTTCGAGAAATAATTTTTTTCGTTCGATCGCTCAAATATGCACATTTTCACCGTGAATATTACCGGAGTTGTGTTCATATAACGAATGTACTTGACCTCCGGTATTTCTGTCAACATAATCCTTTTTTTATTTTCTAAACTTAATCCCCTGTCATTATTGAAGCTGGCAGAGAAATAGTTATATTTTGGTGAATACTTCTGTCCGAGATACTTATCCTGTGTCGAAAAGTAGCATCAAAACAAAGACAGTTTTCACAATGAACGATATAACAGAATCTACTGAGCTTCAAGCTTTTAAAAGCCAAAAGGATGGTTAAAAACTTAGTGTAAAAATGTCCTTGTTTATTTGTGTTGTTCTATCTTGAAACGAACTCAAAGTCCGACAAAATTTACTTGCTAGCGACTGTGAAATACACATGGCGTGCCTACTTGTCGCCGTTTACTGGCATAAATTACTACAATTTGTAAAAAAAAGTCTAACATTACACTCTGAGCTTGTTTATTTATGATTTATTAGCTGTTTTGATGATCACATCATGCTCTACTACATTCCGGCCAGATTTGAGTTCCAGTTTATATATCTTCTCCATCTGATTATATCAGTTGCATGGCAAGCGTGACACTTACAAATTCAAAGATGAATCAACCTCCGAAATACCAAGAGATGGTTTTTTTTTCCTCTTTGCATGGTTTCTAAAAAACCTTTCAGGAATTACTGCTTTCAGAAAAATAAAATGTCCAGATCCATCAATGATTCCTTTGTCGGCGGAAGTCAGAGAATGGTTACAAAATCCAATTTGATTGACAAGCTACACACTGATTTAGCTAACTGATCTGTTGTAATAGCGTCTTACCTCACATGCTAACATGGAGATTTGCTGTCCACTTAAATTGTTCGCTGGTGGAACTTGTGGGTTTAGTTATCGAGAAAACCGAAGTTGTATATCTCAAGTCGTTTCCTTGCATAGTTGTAAAAAAGAAATTTCATGTGACTTGCGGAGTTGCAATTTTTCAGGTCCAGAAAATGAAGTTGATCTTATTTTGTTGCGTACCGGCATCTTTGAGACGCTAACAGATATCGATGATTTTACAATGTTGGTTGGAGTTGTGGTTCCAATAGTAGATGTTGAGTGCCTAAAGAGGTGTTCGACCATTGTAAAGGTAGGGTTAAGTCGATTGCAAAAGCCGATAGGGGAATTGGCAAGCGTGTATTACAGATAGTACTTACGATGTCTGGAAAATTAGTACCGCCTGGCTCCGGTAAGTAGGCTTCTTACCACCGTGAGCAAAATTACGTGTCCCATCGGACCTAAGAATCGATTGGGTATTGGTCCATAGGCTACCAAAAATCCAGACAGTAGCGGAGTTTTCTATACTGATGTCTGAACACTTTGTTGGCCTCCCGCCGTCTGGAGGGACGCGTAATTATGCACACGGAGGTAAAGGGCCCTTCCGCACAAGCTACTAGACGCTGAAAAA